CCCTGGAGGATTATGCTGAAAATCCAGACTCATGGTAGACAAGAGTGAACGCTTCATGCTGCTTGAACTCATTGGGCAAATGAAATAAAGCTGAAATTACCTGGGTTATATAAAGTGGAAAGTTGATAATTTTGAGGAGCAAGGTTACATATATCTGGGGTTGTGTCAACTGAATCTTCCAGGAAAGTTCCTGGCACAAACAAATCCCTAAGCTAATATTATTCATTGGCTGACTGGGTAGTTTAAAGGGGACTGTGAAGTAGAGAACAGTTATGAGGGCAGAATGAACCTCCATATGATACGTGTGCCAGAATGCACAGGCAGAAGACAAGTAATTAAAGGTGTGTGAATTTGGGGTAATCTCTTTCATTTTTTAACTCATTTTTGGTTGATATTCTAACATGCTCTGCTCATCTTTAACCAGAAAGTAATAGTCCACAACACTGTGCTGACTACTGTTAAACTTTAAAATATTATATTTATCTTAATTGTGTGGGGCTTTTAGTCAAAGTTGCAGCTCCATGGGCACAGTCAGTTTAGAAGCTTAGTCTACAAGCAAGGGCTACATTCTTAAATTTAAGTCATGCAGAGCTGTGAAGATAGCTCAGCCAATAAATCCCTTGGTGTGAAATCATAAGAACCCACTTTCAATCCCCAGGACCCATGTGAAAAAGCCAGGCATGGTAGTATACACTTGGATTTCTAGCACTGGAGAGGTAGAGACAGGAGGATTCCTGTGGCTTACTGAGCAATGACTCTCAACCTAGTTAGTGAGCCCAAAGTTAGTGAAAAATGCTGCCTCAAAATATCAAGGTAGACTGAACTTGAGGAATGACATCCAAAGTTGTCTCTGGCCTCCATGTGCACATGCATACATGATCCTGTACACATATGTGCTCCTACATAAAAGGAATACATGAACACACACACACACATACATGCACACAGAAAAATCTAAATTATATAAAACTTATCAGAAGAGTATGAGCCGGGACAGATGGCTTACTCAGACTATTTAAGATGCAGAGGCACATCTGTGTATATACCACTAGCTTAAAACACTCAGTAAGAGGTCTGTCTGATATAAAAACAGACTTGATGGTTTGGGCGTTTCTGGACTATAGCATGTAGATGAGATAACTTCGTGTTTAAAATAATTTAACACTACACAGAAAGCAATGCAATAGAAGAATTATGTATCGGTTTGTACAACAAATAGCATGCATGTAGCATACAGACCAATTTCCAAAATATGATTTTGGTTCTTATCTAAATAAGCATCCCCACCCCCACATTTGCACAGCTGTAGCCCATGTTCGTTGCTGATAATTAAAAATTTTCTCAGTTCAGTTGAAAAATCAGACTCTTGTGTTAAAAATTACTTAAAACATATTCATTTATTGTAAAACCATTACATTACACATTTATTTCTCACAATATCTGTAATAACCATTCACTAAATACATTTTTACCTCAGTCAAGTTCTTTTCTAGATACTTTTCTTCTAATCTGCCAAGTATTTTCTTAATGTATGCCATATGATACAGGATGTTACAGGTTTCACAATGGTTCTTCACATTATGTCCACTTTTAACAAGTGTAAGAAACGCAAGAAAGCAGAACTAAAATTTTAAGAGTCCCCGCTAACCTCAAACACCTGAAACATTAAGTAGCATTGGTATCGTGTTGTCCAGGTGTTCCAGGCTGGGGCTGGAGGTGGGATTACTGCTCTGTGCAAAGGCTCAGGAAGAGATTCAGGAAAGGGGAAGGGTTTGAGTTGGTCCTCATGGAATTCAAAGGGGAAATAGAGCAAACTAGGGCAAAGCAGTCCAGGTGGGGAGAGAAACAAAGGCCACGGAAGGAAAGCTGTGCCTCCTAATGGAGAGATGAGGGAAGCATTGCAGCCTCCCTGGGTTTCCCTCAGGAAGACACTGCTCAGGAAGACACTGTGACACTCTGCTAGCTCACGTGGTTTTCTCAGGATGGAGTCAAACCTAATCAGGCTTGTAGGGGTGGTGGCGGAGGTACTCAAGTGAGACAGGTCAAAGCCCAGCACAGAGCATTTACCTTTTCTCAATTCTGTAGTTAAGCATTTCAGCTCTCTGGGTGGCCGGCCACCTTACAGATGTGTGACCCTGCTTCAAGACCGTACTGTTAGTCAGCATATGGACCAATAAGGGCACATCCATATTCTAGTCAAGTCTGACTTCTTGTTGACTGCTGATGTTAAGAAACTTCAGCTTCGTTTAAGGTATTGACAACTTCAGATATTGTACAGGCTTGGGCAGCTAACCTGGCTATTAGAAGTATAGGCACTTTCTACCTAAGTGAAATTCCTTTTTCTTTTCCAGAATAAAAAAGTAACAATTTCGATCTGTTTTACATCCAATTAGTGTGAGCTATTGAGCATTATTGTGCCATGTGTACTATTATATCATATCCACTCTTTAGGGTCTTTCAGAGATGTGTGGTTAGGTGAAGGAGTCAGGTAAAGAGATGATATTAATGCAAGCAACAACGTCTAGAAGTGATGTCTTGGAATGTCGGATGCCAGCCAGTGAGTTTTATTAATTCTACTATCCTGATACTGAAGATCAACTTCCTGTGGGTTGACTGTTGCTGTCAAAAGATAGTACTTAGCAGAAAAGGAAAACAAGGAACTGATATCTTTGGGCTAAAAAAATCTGTGACTGAACCTCACTCACTAATTCTCAATCCCATTTCAGAACAGGCACTCAACAGTGGCCAGCAGGGTGGTTGGGAGTGTTTCGTGGAGAAGCCGGTGGTCTCAGGAAAGATGCTGAATTCCTGGTAGGCTGGAGATGCAGGGGCCAAATGACCACAGCTGCACTGTGTCAGGGATACAGAGGAGGGAAGGCACAGTGAACAGTGAGGCTCAGAGCACTTTCCACTGTGCAGACAGAGGCAGTCAGAGGCCAGACACACTGAAGTCAGACAGCAATACCTCACTGGCATGTGTCTCATAGATGGCGTACTTATACTTTGCACAGGAACATAGGTGAATTTTAGCTCCACAACACATGGCTTAATCTGACCAGAGAGCTATCAGTTCTTCTAAGGAAGCTGTTTCAAGTCGATATAATTACAGTGCATTTTGGTCAATCATGTAAAACAGTAATTTCCTTTTTCCTTTCTGCTTAACCTCAGCATTTTCCAGGCTGCATTGAATGCTAATAAATTCTCTTTGTGCTTCAGGAGACAATTCTCAGGTAAGTAATACAGCTCTCAAGTTGCAAAGGCAACTAACTAACTAACTCTCTCTCTCTCTCTCTCTCTCTCTCTCTCTCTGCATTTTGTTGAGAAGAAAGACTTGGACCTCTCTATTGTCTTTATAAAAGTAGTTTGAGTAGTTTGGTCACATGTAGACTCTCCATCCAGGAAACTCCATTTAGTAGAAAGAACAGTTGCTGCCAAAGACACAGACTAGACAGGACATTTGAGATCTACTCAGTACTTAACATCCACTCAGAATCAAACACAATGGAGAGGAACATGGCTTAAACATTTGGAGTTCTGCGAAGGATCGAAGGGGGACAGTCAGCAACAGGGCCTGCCAGTGCAAGACTGCCTGTGCTTAGCAATGGGAGCAAAGGGTCCCAGCATCTGCTCCAGCAGGAGTACTAAGCAACTTACTGCAGTAGCCACCAGGGTCAGGAAGGGCTTCTCAATGTCCACACGCAAACCACCTAATGCATGGCGGTGCATTTGCTTTCACAGATTCAAGAAATGATTACGCAGGCCCCACTCATTTAGCCATGCATTTGGCGAGATCCGTTTAGAACTTGTCAGCAAGGAGACGGTGAGATGTAATGCTTCAGCACTTTGGGGATGTCTGAGGCACAGCCATAAGACAGATGTCAAGGAGAA